ATCTAAAAGCTAACTTGGAGGTTGTCCCTCAGAGTTGAAATTATATTTTGGAGTGTCAAAATTTTTAAAATCTTTGTAATCGTTAGATTATAGGTGCATCCTTTTGTAGTGAATTTTTCTGGAAAACCCGTTTCTTTACATGTTAACTGCGAGCTTGAAACCCGCCGTTTCATTGTCAAATTACTACCATCCCAAATCTTTCGATATACCTAATTATGCTTTTAGGAATCTAAACTTCCTCAGTTTTCGTGGATTTGGCGTCATGAATAGCTGGTGCTCTTCAATGCTGACAGCGAGTTCGAGCTATGTCCTGTTATACTTTGAAGAATCTTCGTGTAAACAGAACATAGCTGAGGCTTCTTTGGAAGCGCTCTTTCTCCAAAATTAGACAGGTTGATAATCTGTTATATGACTGGCACTTGCTCCCTTTAAGCATGCAATAATGTTGAATTTGAATCGAACATTTTTGGAAAGCAGAATAAATTGAAAATCTTCAAGCAGCTCATAAGAAGCATGAATTAACAACATGCAAAGTGATCAAGTCAAATTTTGAAGAGTAGACCCCTCTTAACCAAGTTTTGAGGATTCACCTCTGTTGAAAACTCAGCAGTTTATAAGCTGACATCACAGAAAAAAAACGCTTCAAATGATTGTTATTCAAACTCATAAGACTCTTCTTTCTGTACTTTATCCGGCACTTGAAATGAAGAAAATCAAAACTTAAAAAAGTTTAACAAAAAGTTGTTTTCTCAACAAAGACAGCGGGCATTTTGGCTCAAGCAAACGGCTTACAACTCACAGGTAGAGCATGTGGAAACGCAATGATAATGTGGACTACCACAATCTTTTAAGAGTGTAAGGTTACGAATGGAATTTGCTTCTAAAGCGATCCGGACTAAACTTCACATACATTCACTAGGGTACACATAAGCCACATAGATTTCTTTATCCAAAAAAAAAAAATCAACGATTATACCAATTTATTGGTTTTTTTCATTTTTCGTGGGAGATGGCTGCGAAAATATGAGGGT